ATATTGACAAGAAACATGAAGCTTTTCTAACTTGAAGCAACCTAGAAATTTATCTTAATAATATTAAAATACACATGGTGATGAAGAAGCATTTTTAATTAATGAATTTTTGGTTTTGTTTTTTGTTTTGGACACAGAAAAGTTTACCTAACCTTAGGGGAGGTTGAGATATTTGTAAGACACTAGGGTAAATTTTAGGACTAAATGCAAAATCTCCAGAGAAGATATGGGAAGAAATTACTTTGAGGTTTCTTGTGAATTTTTGTTATGGTTTGATCATAAATATCATGCAAATATCCTTTGTCAGTGTATTTTGGCAGTTCTTCCAAGGAGACAAGGAGTGAAGAGGATTACAGAAGAAAAAAAATAAATAAATAAAGAAAATGAGGTTGATTTTACACTAGAAAAATGCAGTGGGGAATTCTATAACTTTCTAGCGCATTTTCTACCTCATTCCTGTGTCCACAATATAGTATTACAAAATCTTTGTAAAAACCAAAAATGTAAACTGCTATACAGAACCAAAACTTCATTCTCCTCAACAAGTTTGAGAGTAACCAAAATTTAATCCCATTATTTGTTCAGATATAACAATTAGGGTGATTTGGGATCTCAGAGATTGAAACACACATAGCCTGAAGTAGAAAAGGGAGTTTTTCAGCTCACAGACTCTAAGGAGGTTTGACAACAGAGCCACTGGAAGGACACAGGTACAGCTTGGCCTCAGGAGCAAATATAGCTAGAAATGTACTATCAGGACTTGCCATCTTGTCTTTGCTTTTCTCTTCTCTCTGCATACCTGCTTCGTTCTCTTTCTTCATAAATCTTCTTACCCTACATGGGATATATCAGTTCCTTTGTTCTACATCTTATAGCTACAGTCACTTGAAGGAAATAAACTCCCCTGAAGCTCCCTTTGGGACAGTCCTAAAATCTTAAGGAAAGGATTTGCTGACTCAATTGGATCCATTGGCTACCCCCGGTCCAATCAACAGTTTGGCCTAGAGTATGGAGGACTAAGATAGGTTCACTTTAGGTGCCGACTAATCCATTGTGGCTAGGAGAGCAGAATCATGCAATAATAAGGCAACTCCCTTGGGTACCATAAAGTTTGACAATAGAGAATATGGGGAGCCATTCCCAGGCAAAGGAGAATGTTGTTGCACTGGGCAGGAAAACCATATGTTACAAGTACCCATAGCAACACCAAGGAAAAAAACCACATTATATCTGGGTTGGGTTATGCCTAGACTAGTTCATGGAAGTCTAGAATATAGCCCACTTAAGTGACTCTACATATGTGCGATGTATAGCTAATAGCATATCTATACCACATGAAGAAAATCTTGATGGAGCAAATAGATTTAAATGATTGAGTGCTATCTTCTTCATGAATTTTTTTTTGAACACTCACCTGAACCCTACTGAACTCTTGCAGGTATTTATGGTCATCACTACACAGTTAATCACATAGTTGTTCTAGAATTGCCTGAATAGCAGGCTGAATTGTCTGAATTCCTAGCTCAACTGTGGGTATCTTACCTTATGCTTCCTTTTACTAGACTTCTATACCAAGATTAGTATTAAGCACATAATTTATTCCACATTCATTCCATAAATGATTCTTAAGAGCCTACTAATTTCTAAGCAATATACTCAAAGCTCAGGGTACAAAGTGATCCTTAAAGAGAGCATATGATTTGTCTTCTGTCCCTATCACACTTGACATAGAAACCTAGCATAGGCAAATTTGAGCTAGCAAGTGAACTGCCTTCCAAATACCAGTAGTGTTGTTTCTAGATGCAGTTTAGTTTGCCTATCCAGAAAAATCAGAATTTCCCCCCTGTTGAAGCCAAAAGGCTATTAATGCAAATCCCGTTGAATTTGCATTTGGTTACATTTCTGATGGAAGCATTCATATGCAAATGAAAATTCGTGAAAAGATAGCCAGATAATTCAAATAGTTGCTGAAATATCAAGATAAAAGTAGGATGTTAAAATGTCCATCCATCCATTTTTACTAGGTTACACTAAGGATCGTTAAGTGGGTCAGTGTTCTTAAAAAGCTTAAACAAGTCATGCCTTAAACACTTGACAACATTCTAATAGGTCTGGATTCAGAAAGGAGCTGTTAGATGACTTTCTACTGCCACCGAGCCGAAAAAGAAGTCTGTCCCTGGTCAAATCAGTCAAGTTGCTCAAAAGAGGCTCATCTTGTCCCCTTTATCTCTTCTTGCGTTAAAAACAAAAGGTGATTTTTTGATAGATGTAAACTCATTTTGATGATCCAAAACAATGAACAAATAGTTTGTGCAAGTTGGCAGTTCTTCACACTCTCTAGGGATTTAATGGTGCAAGTTAAATGACACCATCACATTCACTACCAATAAATACTATTTGGAAAGCATCTGTGGCATCATAAGCATACCAACGGAAAACTGATCTTAATCAATGTTCATGTTCTTCTAAAAGGTTTAAGACTTGGGGGTGCCTGGCTGGCTGAGTTAGTATAACATGCAACTCTTGATCTTGGGGTTGTGTGTTTGAGTCCCACGCTGGGTGCAGAGGTTACTTAAAAATGAAACCTTAACAAATAAGTGAAGAGAAGAGTTAAGACGAGATTCGAAGAAAAGATTTAAACAAATTTCAAGGTATAAAATCGTAATCTACTATTACACATTCCAAACCTATATTCGGAGGAAATATAGATGTTGGAATTGGACTCTCGCTCTTGTTCAACTTATCAGAAGCTGAAGGGGCAAGAGGGAAAGTTTTGAGATCACACCATTCAGGATTGTTAGCACTTAGTTTAATAGTCTACAAAGTGCGATGTTCCCCAGTTTCCTTTTATTTGATGCAATGTATTGGTTCATAGTTTCAAGTGTTTTTAGAATTCTGGTGCTCTGTGCTTTGGTGACTGTCATCTGTTCATCCGACAAATTTGGAAAGCCTGAACCTAGGATAAGGTCCTAGCCTCTCCCTCCTTGGCACAGCCAATCCTTCCCCCAAGCCTAGTGTTTTCACTTGTTAAATATCTCTCAAATCCAGCCACTTCTCATAGTCTCCATCACCAATTCCTTAACCTTTATCTTTGCCTGGTTTATGGCAAGAAACTCCTAACCGGTTTCCCAGAATCCACTTTTCTTTTCCCGCAGCCCCTACCATATGATAGCCAGAGTTGTCATTTAAAAATGCAGATAATTCACAATTTCATCCAGTCATCTCCTTGCTTAAAACCCGTCAATGGCTTCCTGTTTCTCTTAGAATAAAAGCCCAGTCCGTAAGAGGGCTGCCGCACAAGGCATGTTCTGGTTCCTGCTTGCCTCCCCACCCTCGCATCATATTGCTTCCCTTCCGCTGTCTGCATATGAGCACTGTCTCTTTAGGTGGTGAAAGGCACCACGCTCCTTCCATTCCGCGCATCCTTGCACGCACTGGTCTGCCCCAGCTTCTACAGCTCGTGAGCTCCATGCCTTCTCAATTAAAGTTTTCCTGATCTTCTAGACTCCATTGGGTTCCCCTGCTGCTTCTTTCAAACTACCACACAACTTCCTGTCCTAATCCTTATGTGAGTGTGTAACGTTGTTTTTATTTTTGAGAAAATATCAGGTGTACCTATTGTTCTCGTGTCTTCCTGAAGGATGAAACTGGATCTGTTTTTTGCTTATCAAAACAAGACATGATACCCACCATATACCAGTCATTCAGTACTTGTTGAATTAATGGAAGGTTCCGCTTTCTGTTCTTTTCATCTATAATCCACAAGTTCATAACAGTGAAAGCAAGAATAAAAATGAAAAGAAAAAGAAAAATTGACTAGCTTGCTCGAACATCACCCTGCCACAAATGCTCAGAAATAACTAGTATGGCAAATACTGGAATATCTCTTATGGCAGAGAAGGTGAGGTGAAGAATATAGGGGAATCAAGGTTAACAGTTCTCTGAAACTACGAAAGTAGGACTCCACCATTAATTGTGCTAGCAATGGACTTGTATTCATCTACTTACTGTAGCAGACAAACTCCCAACACTGTCTCATGCATAAAAATGTTTATTTAGGGTATTTAAGCCACAACTTATTTCAGAAACGTATCTAGAGATCTCAGATGTACAAAGTCTTGTGACACAGTTGCTAAAATTGATTTGCAGCTATTATTCATTTCATGGGAATAGAGTCATAATAACAAAAGTTAACAATCATATCAAAATCACACAGCAATATAGCCAGTTTCTTTGGCTTTTATTAAGTATTTCTGTTAATTTAATTTTATTTCTATTTATGAGCTTCCTTTTATTTTCAGGCAGCTTTAAAACACTGAGCTAAATATTGAAATTATAGGGCGAGGTGAAATGCCACATCCCATGATTTTTTAACAAAGTCCCATTATTATCTCTCTAGGAATATCTATCCTTTCGCATCTGTGTCAGACTGTGTAGTCCTGGCCATCTGTGATGTGCAGAGAGTGGAAGGTTAAAAGCAACAGGATGTATCTGTGGTTAAGCACGTTAAGTTCAGTGGACAATAAAAAATTAAATATACCTTTCTTAAAAGAAAAGGAAGTTTTATATAGACTGTTAAAGTAGCTCTGAGCTCCTATTATCTCTCATGTTTATGGATCTGAGAATGTAGCTCTGTTTTTTAGTTTTTAAATTTTCCCTAAAAAAATTTTTAAGCTGTCTTTCATTCTTTGTGGATTATGCGGACCCGTATTCCAGGAAGAGGAAAATAAAGATGTGCCTATTTAATTTAAAGCAGAGTGTCCTCTTGTGTGTGTGTGTGTGTGTGTGTGTGTGTGTGCGTGCGCGCGTGTGTGTGTGTGTATTACAAGAATAAGCATTCAGTCAATGACTGGTCATCTGCAACACTTCTTACAAATAAACTAAGTATTTGTTGTCTTTTTGCAAGTCAACATTTTGCACTAACAATGATGTAAATGGACTTGGGCCCCTCGGAAGAAGGCCCCCGCAAAGACATTTATGATGTCCTCTTATGATTTCAGTTAAGAATGCAAATTGCACATCAGACTTCGAGGAATACTTTGCCAAAAGAAAACTGGAGGAACGCGATGGCCATGCAGTCAGCATCGAGGAGTACCTTCAGCGCAGTGACACAGCCATTATTTACCCAGAAGCCCCCGAGGAGCTGTCTCGCCTTGGCACGCCAGAGGCCAATGGGCAAGAAGAAAATGGTGAGGCTGTAATTCATTTTTAGCCACTACACTGACCTCTGCAGCTGTTACAATTACAAATGCACTACATGCCTGGGTGTTTACCTTAAAATTTGAAGAACAGCTGCAGAGGCATGGAATTTCATGAGCAAAGATTAGAACTGTAATTTTAGGGTATTGTGAAATTTTTTTTGTCAGCAAATTTGTGTCATTTGTACATCCAATAAAGAACAAGAACAATTAGAGCCCATTTCTAAGAGATAAAAATATCGGAATTGATTCCAATGTTTCTGAAATATTTCACTTTTGAGGAACAAAAAAAAAAAAGTTTAGAACGAGTGACCCTCGCCTTCCCTTTCTTCTTTACTGACACCTGAAAAAGCTCTCGCGGCTGTCAATTCCCGAGTCACATGTGACCAAAGGTTTTTTACCACGAACTGTCAGTCACCTAAAGAGAATTTCCTCATTTATCAGCTGTTTAAATTTCCCCCCAAAAGCGCCGGTAATTAATTAACTTCCCAGCGCAGCGTGAGCTGATTCCGACAAGTCTGTGCTGGGTGCGCGCGGGGACCGGTGCGCGCGGGGGCCGGGGGCAGTGATGGCGCTCTTGTGGAGCAGATTGCAGTGATTCCTGTCATACCAGCCCGGGCAGGCAGCCCATTAGCTGCCATTGATTTACTGACCTTTTGGCCTGCTTCTCTCCCTCTCGTCTCTCGGCTACAGACCTGCCACCTGGAACTCCAGATGCTTTTGCCCAACTGCTGACCTGCCCCTACTGCGACCGGGGCTACAAGCGCTTGACATCACTGAAGGAGCACATCAAGTACCGCCACGAGAAGAATGAAGAGAACTTCTCCTGCCCTCTTTGTAGCTACACGTTCGCCTACCGCACCCAGCTCGAGCGGCATATGGTGACGCACAAGCCAGGGACAGATCAGGTGGGGGGCTGGTTTTAAGTGATTTCTGGCTATAATAACCCCTTAGAGAAACGATATGGCTTTGATTGGCAATCATTATTAATTTTTCATGGCATTTTGAAGATGCAGATCTTTTAATGGTAATAGCTTTAATTGAGGTCTAAATGATTTTTTGATGGTCTCTTCTAATATGATTTAATAGTCTTATGTTCACGATCGAATGAGTGTGTTAATTTCTAATTTAGAAATTTTATTTGCACTTTAACTTGACTTTAGTTTCATTTTTATGTTCCACAAAAAGTGGATGAAATCGTAGCATTTTAATTATATATTATTAAACATCTCAGCAATTTTAATTCCATTTTTCACCTAGTTTTACTCAGGAATTTTTTTTTTCATATAGGATCTAAGCCAGAGTAAAAGAAGTGTGTATTTCTTTCATTTGTCATATAACACCTTCAGGTACTTAAGAGTGTTTTTACAAGCTGCTACTAGTTTCTGAAATCTAATTAAGTGTTTTTTTTTTAAAAATCAAAAAGGCATATTATACATCTTTGTGTGTGTGTGTATATATATATAAAACAAACTGGATTGATACTACAATATTGGACATACATTTAAAATGATCCCTTTTGATTTGCATGCCTATGGCTAAATGTTAAGATTGTTCTGCCTCTTTTCGCTGATTTGTGTTAAAAAATAAAAACTCTATCTTGAACAGGTCAGCATAGCTTCTTAAATCCTTAAAATGTTTGAATAGGAATGATTCACAGTGTCCCTTACATGTTTTAGCAAAACTGCTCTTTCTGTCCTCCTGGGAGAAATGACTGCAGATTGATCTTACGTGTTTGAATGGTAACAGAAATGGTGTGCCTGAAGTCCCAGTAACTGGTCTTACAGATCTGGAAGCCTACTGTTTAAGCCTTGCTACTGTATCGGTTTTAAAAAAAAGTATTAAACCGGACATCCTATAACATTCTTACGCTTCTTTTTTCTTGTGGGCATTATTTTCTTTGAATAAGGAAAATGAGGATAACCAAACACAATGAAAACATGGTGATGATACTCTATTATGGGATTTTACTATTGTAAAAGAACAGCTCAGGAAAATCATTCCATTTCTATCTGATTGGGCTTGTCACCTGAACGTTTTTCAAAGTTCAGTTACAAAAGCTATGCTCTCATAGTTACACTTATGTAACAGTTTATCTCCCCTTGCTTATACGCACAAAAACTCGAGGGGGAAAAAAAAAGTGCCTAGATATTTATCTAGCATAACTGCTTTAAATTTCACATGCAGAAGTGTGATTGTGTTGGCGCATTATGAATGGTAGCTTTGGTGTTGAAAAGTCCCCTCATTTGCTCATGGCATTTACAATTAGTAAATTAAAATGATTGTATCATATTAACAGTGGCACAACTAAAGTTTATAGTAGTCCTCTGAGGGCTGTGGGGGGGGACAAAGCAGCTGTTGCTGTTTGTTTATGCAACTCAGCAACATATGAGCGCTGGTCCCTCAATGGTGCTCGGCGGGCTGGGCTCCGCTTGATCTTTGAAGGTTGCTGCTGTTTGAACAAACCTCCCTGTGTCCCATGTAACACCATCTGTCTCACTAGGAATGTGGGAAGATTCAGCACACCCTAGCAGTTGTCATACCGCTTCTGTGCTGTCTTTTTGCAAAAGGCTTTTGTGTCATTGCTGCTTGAAGAAGGCTGACCTCCTACCTTGAGCATCCAGAGTGGATGACTGTATTTTTTTTTTTTTTTTTTAGCATTCTAAGTCACAGTGCTTTTTTTCTCTTGTTCAAAAAGGTCAGCTGTGTTTGATTATATCTTTGCTGCTTTTAACTTGTCTTTTCAGCAAACTTTTTTTCTCTTTTGTCCTTACTCCCTAGCACACTACTAAAAAGGAAAATGAAAAGTCGTTGAAGTCTTTCCTACTGGCCTGTGATAAAACTGCTCAAGCAGCTAGAACCCAAGATGTTGTCTCTTGCATTTGATAATGAATCAAATCTGATATGCAACACATCAGGAAGAACAGGGTTTACATTTGCTACTAGCACAGTGAATGGGATATTTAAACATGCTTATCGTGTAATGAAATATTTATAGTCAAGAATTTTTTTTTGTTTGTGTGTGCGTGCTTTTTTTTTTCTTCTTTAAAATTGATATCGCTTCAGTATAAGCTCTACTTTTACCCTGATACAGAAAATTTGATAAAATTAGTTCTTTGCATGGGGAGTTTTTTTGGAGGCTACTTAGAATTTTTCAGGATAAAAATTTTTTTTTCCTTGACAAAACAGTTGCATTCCAACAGGGAATCTTCAGATTTTAGAATGTGCAGTAAACCACAAACATCTTTACAATTATACTTTCTTATCTCCAAAGGCTCAAAGAAACATTTTGGAAAAGAGACTACAGAGATAATTCTAAAGCAAGTGTTGGATGCGCATGTGAAAGCCCTTTTTTTTTTTTATTTGTTCCAATTTTATTGCCAACATTATCACTTTTATTGCAACTCTGAAAGACTAGGCAAATAAATAAACATGCACTCAAACCTTTTGGCCTGTCTGAAAAATAGAGGCCTTTTAAAAATATTTGTAACAAATTTCCTTTGTTCCTTCCGCACAAAACTGATGTCAGTCTTTCTCCTTTATAGCACCAAATGCTGACCCAAGGAGCAGGTAATCGCAAGTTCAAATGCACAGAGTGCGGCAAGGCTTTCAAATATAAACACCATCTGAAAGAACACCTGCGAATTCACAGTGGTGAGTAGCAGAGGTGCTGGTCCTCACATTTGCGTTTTGTTTCAGTAGGGGGGTTTTAAAAGATTGCTTAAAATTTACACAATCCTGTTTGTAGCTTTTTGGAACTACCCTTTTATTTCACAAACTACGTGAGCCTGCTTTGCCTTCATGAGACTTGTGGTACCACCAGTAGCATGATCTTACAAAAAGAAAAGGAATGTTTAGACTTCCTAAAAATTGCAAATGCTTTGATTTATCACAAAATCTAGAGGCTCCTTTTTTGTCCTTTCAAACGCTCTTCTACAGATTAAATATTTTTGACCTGAAGAAACTCGGCTGGCAAATTCTGAAGGGTATTCATTTTTGATACCTAACCATGAAAGAAAACATTGAAGAATTTTGGATGAGAGCTTTTGTATAATAAATGTTCCTTGATTCCTGGGAGCTGTATAGTACAGAACAACATCCTACCACTGAGATTTCTTCTTTATAACTATTTTGATAGCTCTGCCAAGCATTTTATTACCAAATTGGATGCTATTCAAAGGACTAGTTGGATTGGTAGAATCAATGGGATCTCTACAGGGTTGATTAAAGCCATGGCTACACTTCCCTTTAAATACTGTGACATCTTTATGGTGCTATTGACCACACATTAATCTGACACTCTGTTTAAATAGGAGGCTGCCGATGGCAAGACAAGATTTGGGATCTTGGCTGAAAAAGGCATAGATAGCCCTCACCTTCCACTGCTAACATCTTGAATTATGTTCTCTCAGGGTAGATAAAGCCCAGAAACAGTTATGGCCACATAATTCTAAGCTAAGCATCTAGAATGTAGAGGTACCCCCATTGTGTTCCTTCTATTTGGTTTCACAGATTCTTGCATTGGTGGACAATTGCAATTGTTACCCACTTGAAGAAATGTAATGTTAATTTTGATTATCATTTTAGGTGAAAAACCATACGAGTGCCCAAACTGCAAGAAGCGTTTCTCCCATTCTGGTTCCTACAGTTCACACATCAGCAGCAAGAAGTGTATTGGTTTAATCTCTGTAAATGGCCGAATGAGAAACAATATCAAGACGGGTTCTTCCCCTAATTCTGTTTCTTCTTCTCCTACTAATTCAGCTATTACCCAGTTAAGAAACAAATTGGAGAATGGAAAACCACTTAGTATGTCTGAACAGACAGGCTTACTTAAAATTAAAACAGAACCACTAGACTTCAATGACTATAAAGTTCTTATGGCCACACACGGGTTTAGTGGCACTAGTCCCTTTATGAATGGTGCACTTGGAGCCACCAGCCCTTTGGGAGTTCATCCGTCTGCTCAGAGTCCAATGCAGCACTTAGGTGTAGGGATGGAAGCCCCTTTACTCGGATTTCCCACAATGAATAGTAACTTAAGCGAGGTACAAAAGGTTCTACAGATTGTGGACAATACGGTTTCCAGGCAAAAAATGGACTGCAAGGCTGAAGAAATTTCCAAGTTGAAAGGTTATCACATGAAGGATCCATGCTCTCAACCTGAGGAACAAGGAGTCACTTCTCCTAATATTCCACCTGTAGGTCTTCCAGTAGTGAGTCATAATGGTGCCACTAAAAGTATTATTGACTATACATTAGAAAAAGTCAATGAAGCCAAAGCTTGCCTCCAGAGCTTGACTACTGACTCAAGGAGACAGATCAGTAATATAAAGAAAGAGAAGCTACGTACTTTAATAGATTTGGTCACTGATGATAAAATGATCGAGAACCACAACATATCCACTCCATTTTCTTGCCAGTTCTGTAAAGAAAGTTTCCCTGGCCCCATTCCCTTGCATCAGCATGAACGTTACCTTTGTAAGATGAATGAAGAGATCAAGGCAGTCCTGCAACCTCACGACAACATAGTCCCCAACAAAGCCGGAGTTTTTGTTGATAATAAAGCCCTCCTCTTGTCATCTGTACTTTCTGAGAAAGGAATGACAAGCCCCATCAACCCATACAAGGACCACATGTCTGTACTGAAAGCGTATTATGCTATGAACATGGAGCCCAACTCTGATGAACTGCTGAAAATTTCCATTGCTGTGGGCCTTCCTCAGGAATTTGTGAAGGAATGGTTTGAGCAACGAAAAGTCTACCAGTATTCAAATTCCAGGTCACCATCACTGGAAAGGAACTCCAAGCCGCTAGCTCCCAACAGTAACCCTCCCACAAAAGACTCTTTATTACCCAGGTCTCCCGTAAAGCCTATGGACTCCATAACATCACCATCCATAGCAGAACTCCACAACAGTGTGACGAATTGTGATCCTCCTCTCAGGCTAACCAAACCTTCCCATTTTACCAATATTAAACCAGTTGAGAAATTGGACCACTCAAGGAGTAATACTCCCTCCCCCTTAAATCTTTCCTCCACATCTTCTAAAAACTCCCACAGTAGTTCTTACACTCCAAACAGCTTCTCTTCTGAGGAGCTCCAGGCTGAGCCTTTGGACTTGTCATTACCAAAACAAATGAAAGAACCCAAAAGTATTATAGCCACAAAGAACAAAACGAAAGCTAGCAGCATAAATTTAGACCATAACAGTGTTTCTTCATCATCTGAAAACTCGGATGAGCCTCTAAACTTGACTTTTATCAAGAAGGAGTTTTCAAACTCAAATAATCTGGACAACAAAAGCACTAACCCAGTGTTCGGCATGAACCCATTTAGTGCCAAAACTTTATACACAGCTCTTCCTCCACAAAGCGCATTTCCCCCTGCCACTTTCATGCCACCAGTCCAGACCAGTATCCCTGGGCTACGACCATACCCGGGACTGGATCAGATGAGCTTCCTACCACATATGGCCTATACTTACCCAACTGGAGCAGCTACTTTTGCAGATATGCAGCAAAGGAGAAAGTACCAGCGAAAACAAGGATTTCAGGTAAAGATACCTATCCTTTTGCTCTGAACAGAGGAGACCTTAAAAATTATATTACATTGTGTATGTGCATGTGGCGGGCGGGGGGGGGGAGTCTTAGTGAAAAAAAAATCAAGTGTTGTGTTTTCAGCAGACATGGCAGAGTTGGTTTTCACTTGAACCTCAAGCTGGCTGGGCTAGACAAACAAATGGAGAATCAGTGGAATAGGGAGCTGTGGAAACACAGCTGCCTCACAAAAGTTAAAGAACTTCAGACTTATTTTTGAGGTTTATTTAGATTGATCTGTATGCTTTTAGAATTATACGGCCCTGATGGTATTTGACAGGACTTCCATAGATACTTAAAGTTAGCGTCTAGAACAGTCCCCTACTTGTGCAGATGTTCACAGTTCACAATCTGCAATAAGACATGTATGAATCCGATATGTACTTGGTTTTATAGAAAATAGTGTATTTGGGAGGGCATTTTAAAACATATTTTGTACATTCCACTTGACTTCTGGTGGACTTTTCAAACCGGTAAATAATTTACGGGTTTCCAATCCAAAAGCAGGTATGTTTTAACAACATGGAGTATATAATCCCTGTTTGCAAAATAGGAGCATAAGTAGCCGTGCACCTCTATAAGAGTCTTCCAATTTACGGTACATCTGCCCTCTTTGTAAATGTATTTAAGCCTATTTAATCTCCTCTAATATTAATTAGTGCAAACGTGGTCTAAGAAAACGGAACTGTGAACTAGCAAATGGAAATGTATGTTATCATGCAAGTTTGCACTCCTTTGGATCAAGACAAAATAAATATCAAGAAATTTAATAATTTACTGATCCACATTCATTATTGCTCAATGCTGAAGGCTGTTTTAACATAGATAGAACATTGATAAAAAGTGTTATTAATATTCCCTATTTCAAATTAGAAAATTAAATATAAAAATATAGCTTGAGGCCTTTAGTTGGTAGACATACATTTAAATAGATTGCATAATAATAACATTTTGTACCTAAATATAAAATTCAATTAAAATAGGGTTTCTACCGCTACAGATCATTTCTAAAGTTAACCACAATGGAAAATACACAAATTCTGATGTTTGATTTTCCCTCGTGGTTATTTCCTGATATAAAGAAAACTGAGGATTTTAGAAAATTTTATCTTTTTCTCACCTTCAGAGTTGACCATTTTCTACCCTTAAAAAACAATGAGCTCTACCATCTAGGGCGAAGGAGGTTTATATTTTGGTTGAAGGGTGAGACCTCATACATTGTTCATGGAAAGTAGTAGGTTTTTTTTTTTTCTTAATGAGATTGATGAATAGCAAGCACTTTTGAGGTTCTCCAAATGTCAGCCTACGTGAAGTTGTTTGGTATAAACACAAAGAGAAGAGACTGTGTTGAACTATGTGATTATATCACAGGGAGAATTGCTTGATGGAGCACAAGACTACATGTCAGGCCTAGATGACATGACAGACTCCGACTCCTGTCTGTCTCGAAAGAAGATCAAGAAGACAGAGAGTGGCATGTATGCATGTGACTTATGTGACAAGACATTCCAGAAAAGCAGTTCCCTTCTGCGGCATAAATACGAACACACAGGTATGAGTGACTTTGACTAGCTAGTTAGAGCTTCCCGGCCTGCTGTACATTTCATAATATTTAATGAGTACACTTGTGCAACATAAGATGTAGCATATGCTGATACCTTCAACAAGGAAGAAATAATGCTTTTGCCTAGCTCCGTAGGACTTTTTTGTTGCCTGTTTATTGGATCATTCATGTGTTTATGAGCGTGCTTGTCTTCATATCTTTCAAGTTACTCTGTAAGCCAAATTAACAGATCCCGTAGAAGGTGTATTTAAGTGACCAGGGCAATGAAATGGCATGGCACAAGCCAGTTATTGAAAATATGTTCACATTCTCAAGTTGTAATGACTCGCTCTATGTAAAAACTTAATGAAACACTCAGTCAGTGATGTATTAGATTTATCATCCGAACGTCAAGTAAGCTGCGACTTGGAGGTGGTTCTGTTTGGTCTTATAAATTGGCCATTTTTTGAACACAGCGGAAGTGTTAGTACTGTGAGAGAAAAAGGTATAAGTAAAGTAATATGCCAAATGAGCTACTGAAACTGCTTCTATTTGGAAGACTAAAATAAAACTTTCTAAATTTAATTAGCTTATTTCCAATTCATGCATTACTAACTAGGAACAATTATACAGAGTTGACAAGATAGCAGCCTAGTTCTTCCCTATGAGTAGAGAGACAGTGGGTTAATTTTTAAAAAGAAAGGCGAAGGACCATAATGCAAAGCAGAGCTGGTTCCCAGGATCCAAGATCCGATCCGCAGCTCTGCAGTGGCAGTGCACCCGTGCTCGCTCGCTCCCTCCCTCCTCCTCCTTCCACCTTTAACCACAAAGCAACTCAGCCTCACCTCCCGCTTCCAGATTTTCTTCTCGAGAAATTTGGCATGCTGTACTTGCCCTAGATGGGAAAAGAAAGAGTGTAGGATCTCAATCAGAATATTGGCAGGGGGAAATTATATAAACACTCTCATTTTAAATGAGAAAGTCTACTATCAGACATTTTAACATAGAGCGAAAAAACTAGCCTAAGAGTGCTTTTTGGGGAAAAGTGGTGAAAAGACAAAAAAGAAAAAGATAAAAGAAGAAAGGGTAATGTGAGTACTTTCCGCTGTATTCTGACTAAGTACCTGGTGCCCTATTGAGTGATTGAAAACCATCCTTGGGGAGCACTCCTCCGCCTCATCTTCCCTCTTCCCTCACTGGGCAAGCACCGGAGGCAGCCTGAGAGTGGGAGGAAGTCGGGGGGGAACGGTAGGGGTTGAGGGTATTTGTGAAGAGCACAAGGTCGATCAATAACAGTACCCCAGTAATCTCTTTCTTCAACTGTCTGATGTTGTTATTATTTTAAAAGTTGAATTAATGATACGTTAAAGACAACCTAGTTTGAAAAGCAAATCCCAATAGTTTCTGTACTTGTGTGATATAATTCCGTGTTTGAAACGTCAAAATTTTCCTAATTTTGTCTTTTATCAGAGATATCTATAGATTTTTTTTAGTACCAAGTCCTACTTAAATATTTATGAAGATATTTTCATATCTAAATTTAATATTTTAATCAACATCAAATATATTTTGTATTTCATTATTCAGCTACAGTAGGCACATCACTGAAGGCATCTTTCCCTCTCTGATTGATTTTATTATATGACCATATGCAAACTCTATCATTTACTACATGGTGAGTGTAAAACTTTTATTTTAGTGAGGGCTATCATACATATTGACATCCCGTCAATATCTTTATTTCTTATAAATGAGATAGTCCATAAACTTCATAGGCATACCGATAGTCAAGAGACCCAAAAGTTGACAAACACAAATATGCATAGTAAATTTGCAAAATATGCTGTATTTCAAAAAATAAAAATAAAGTGTTCTGGTTCTTTAAGATGTGAGAAGATCTGCTACCTAGAAGTAATGTATAGCAACAAGATCCTAACCATACAATTGTTTCTTTAAATGTGCGATTAATTATCCTCCTGTCGGCTTCCTAGCTTGTCAGGTTTCCAGTGTGTTAACTTTTTGGTCTCTTGACCAAACATCTCATGACATTACTACTGTCACTGTATTAGGTTCCATCACCGTGAAGTTCTTCATGAATTCTCTAGCACTGTGATGTATGTAAAAATTTCGTCCATTTTCCTTCCCTAATTGGGCCCCAGAAGCCTTTTATTTGTTTATATTAAGTACTAGTAATACTTTGAGAATGTACTAATGTGAAAATTCTATGTGAGAACAGTCTCTGGGTTGATTGATTCTAAGGTTGGGAAATGAAGCTGAATCATCATTTGATTATGTGCTGATTTTACAAATGTGTCATTGATAAAGTGTGTTTGTTACACCTGTCCACAATTTAACATATAGAATGGCTTAAGTTAAGAAGGAAATTATGAGCTACTTTTTCTTGAGATCTTGTGCTCTTTTACCTTGGCCTGTTTAATTTATTTCCTAGGCAGACAACAAAGACATAATGCTTAATTTTCCTCGCCAAGGGCCTATTGCTTGCTTGCTTTTCCTGGGGCCTGGGCCTGGGATCGGGACTGGGATGTTGACTTCAATGGGATTAATTGTCACAAGCCAGGACGATGAAACACAAAATCTGAAACTCATGTTAGGCGCTGTCAAGAACTCATTTGTATTCCACTAAAATTTAAATCTGACATTTATTGAGTACTTTCTTTATTGAGACATTGTGGTAGGTACTCTTAAACCTACCTTATTCAGAAAAGTAATAAAAATGTTTCTACTTTTGAGTAGATAAAGTCAAAGTTTTAAATATATTACCAATTTTGTTTCTCAGTTATATGATAATATTTTTCATACCACAAACCTTCCATTTATTAACTTCAGTTATCATTCTAGCTGTCAGGTGAATCATGAACCTTGAGATTAGGGGAAAAAATTACCCTAAAAAAGTTTTGATTCACTCAATGTCAACTTGGAGGTTTTTCTGAATCTTGTTCATGTGGATATTTAATTCCAGGAATCTTGATTTGAATCAGGTAAACCTAACAAACAAATTAAAAAGAGATGAACGTCCAAGGCAGTCCCTACTTAAATTGAATTTATTAAATACTTACCAGCGACACTTCTGGACAGTACTAGAATATTTAGTGCAAGGTATAGGTCAGTCCCCCCCCCACCCCTACCCCCAAATTCTGTCCTTTGCATGGCATAATAACTGCACATTTTATTCCTTCAGATTGTCAGTTCATAATGTAGAATTAATATGTTTCTATTACAAGCATGTTGTTTATTATTGATTGAATTCCCTGAAAATCGATTGCCTGTAACCAGAATATCTATATAATAGACTGCAGTTTAATGGGCATCCCCCAAGCATTTCTAACAGGCCTTGAAACTTGTCCTGGAGAGTGTTTGTTCTCTCTCAGGACACTGCTCTGTGTTTTGTTCCTTTGGAAAAGAGAGAGGCGTATCAGCTGTAGTCATTGTGATAGTCATTCACGATTATTCACAGCCGATCCATGAAGTCACCTAACTGTCCCCCCTTCTGTGCTCCTGAGCCGAGGAGACATCCAAAGGAGGTTGTAGGAGTGTTCTACCTGTGCATGCTGTAGCAACTAAAGCACCGAGAAATTTTTCATCTATAATCTCTCTTCTTTCCATTCAGATTTACTTCTTCCATGTACTCTGCTCTTTATCTTGCTTACGACTTGGGGAATTACTGAACGTGTACTGATAAAAACGAATAAAATTATCTAACATTAATTGAGTGCTTACTATGTGCAGTCCTTGTACTAACCACTTTACCTACATTGCCTCCTTTACTCCTTATGCCTGGGCCACAAGTTAGGTCCCCCAAATGACCTCCCTTTTATCAACAAGGACCCTGATTCTCAGAGAGGTTAAGATGCCTGTGTTGCACAGCTGGTTGTGAAAGATGGATTCGAACCAAGGCGATCAGACTCCAGAACCCATCTCCCTATCTAACACTGCACCATCCTGCCCCTATGAATGAGTCACCACTGTCAGAAACGTCTTATCCTTGCTCCCGAGAGCATCCTTTTCTTTAAGGTCCAAGTACACACGAGAGAGACCAAATTCATGCACCGTGACTTGAAGTCTTCTGGAAGACCAAACCTCTATCTTTTTCCCAAATACACTTCTGCTTCCTGTTAAATGACCTTCCCAGCACGGTGGT